ATTTTTCAAGCGCAGATTAAGGTACCATTCCTTAGGTACAGTAGTGCTGGCTGATGATACCTGCTAAATGGATCATTATTGAAGCACAGATCAGCATTGTATTAATTTGCAGTTCTTCTATCTTTCTTTATTAATTCCTTCTCTTTAATAAAGCAAATTATTTTCACAAGGGCCACTATGGTTTCCGCAGTTCTTGTTTTACATCTTAAATGAAGCCTAGAAATAATACCTCAAACAAGATGGGGAAAAAAAAGTCTCACTTCATATGTACCTTAAAAGATTTTAGATTAGAAATTTGAAAGATTGACGCCTATCGTTTCTAAGATTTACTTCTCGATATTAAATGTTATGTCAGCGATTATAATTCCAGAAAAAAAAATTTAGAAAAAAATGAGCAGTAACTCTTGAAGATTATAAATACATTACAGTTTTTTTTTCCCCAATATGTATCATTTAAATATTCATAGTCACGAAGTTTTGTATATGTAACTTTTATTTCACAGAATGAGAGCAAAATTTTGGCCTAATACATGATAAGCGATGATTCATTTTGATTTTCAGGAGTTACGCATATTGCATAATTTACTACTTATTATGCTTGGCATGTGAAGTAAGGCAACCAAAACATTAAAATTATAGTCACAAGTAATGATATTTGGGAGCTGGTGCAACAAGTCAAGAGCTGAGAAAAGTTTCTTCCCTCAGCATGACAGGTCTTCAATAATATAATAGTTAAATGAGTTTGCTATGGTTCAGTAGGTTGTAAATAGCAATTTAAATTAATATGAGCTACTCTCCTATGTTGAGGGTTCGAAGCTTACCCAACAGATTCTTAATCTATTCTGTTCGAAAGCTCTTTCCCCACTTAAAGCTAACAGTATCTTAGGAAATCAGAAACACTCCTGTAAATCTTAATATGGTCTAGTAGATTCTATTTATAAAACTTAGATTACATATATATTTCAAAAATGATGTGAAGACACGTAAAATAATGAGAAATAAATACCTGTCACGGGTAGAGATTGCTAAGGAGGTACTTTATCATTACAAATATGATTTACACAATTTTGATCGCACTATTACATATTTATAAAAATACGCGTTCCTTTAAATTAATGCAAATTATTTAAAATAAACATGCTATGAAAAAAATAAAAGATAAATTGTACTAAATTTTAAGATATAGAAGTTATTTTTAAAATATGAAACTTACAAAATAACACAGAATGGCAAAAAGATTTAGTGATGAGAAAAAGCATAAAAATAGCAACAAAAAACTGCAAAAGCCACAGAGTCAGTTTCTTTCGATATTCCACTAAGAGTCTTCCTTGATTTGGAACTAATTTAAATGTTATTTTAGATAAGTTTATGATTTGAATTAATTTAATTAATTCATTTTAATTGATTCGAAACATATCTTTGCCGTCTTACTATATTTCTTTTAATGCATTTTGCATGTAAAATGATGAGTTAGAGAAAATGATATAGTGATTTCAACTTTCCAATTAAGTTTTCCATTTAAAGGAACAAAATTTCTTATTCTGTAGCTCTATTAAATAACCTTTTCGTGAATGCTGACATCTTCAACACAAAACAGAATAACAATGAAAAGTTATTTGCACCTCATTCTTTTAGTTGTGTAAATTTTCTCTAATCATATGGTGAGACCAGTACACTGGAGTTAAGAGTGTCTTTGAACTGATTGCATGTAACAATGATACCAGAAATAATAATATACATATACAAACGACATACAGATTTAAAAGCATAAAACATGAACTGCATGAGCATATGTAAAAAGATTTCACATCCTTTCTTTATCAAAACAGGAAATGTTCCCTTGATTCAAAATTAAATATTGAATAATCATCTAAAATAAACATGCAACTGCAGATGATTGTGACTCAAAGAAGATTTAAGAGCTGGTAATCTCTTCTCATTGAAGAAGCCAAAGAAAGGCCAGAAAATGGCTCATAGCGGAAAAATGTTTTTTTATTCACTTTCTCAACATTACTTCCATTCTTTAATACGTTTAAGTCTTAAGACCTTAAATGCGCCTATTATTATTCTCAGAGAAGTTCGAGAATAATCGGTATGGAAAAAAGCAGTTCCTCGTGAGTGTGGTTTTGAAACTTCACCAATAAAGGGAACCCATAACTCTCTCTATATATATTGGACTTTTATCATCCTCAGGAAAGTAAATGTTGAAAAAGTATTCATAATATATCAATGTGTGCATTTCCTTTATGAGGGAAATGGAAATAAAATCATTATTCCTTTAAAATTTAGCTCATTAAAATTGATTTAGTTAATAATATTCTAGGAAGCTAAAGAAATAAAAATATTAGTATTAAATCAATTATTTTAGATGTTTAGTTTTGCAGTCTACGGCATTAAAAAATTCATTTTAGGTTTGAATTTGATTTGCAGAACCCTTCCCTCCGCCCAGTCGAGGGGCTGCATAGAAACTCGGGATTCCGGGAAACACAGTTTGAGGACCGCTGGTTAAGCGCATGCGAATTCCTCATTTTCAAACGTATGAAAATGCAGGTCTAGAATTTTAGCAATTTTTGGTACTTGGAAAAATGAATCTCTGTCTACTGTTCATAGCGTGAAGTTTACTTTTAAAATTGTTTTCATTCATCTCTTCTTAGGAAATAATACAAAAAACTCCTTTCAAAGTTTGGGAGACTTGTTCAGAAAAAAACATACCTCAACTCTATGACTGTGCAGTGAAAAACTATGTCAAAAAGTTATAAAAAATAGAATATAAGTATTTATAAATATTGTAATATGTTCAGCAACATGGGATCACCAGCAGTGAAAAGCTTTGATGGAAATTTGCAATTATATTTTTATTATTGTGCTCCCCCCCCCCCCCCCATCCTTCGCTCAGGCACACTAAGCGTCCTCTCCTCTTGCATTCTTCTGGTCAACTTCCCAAGACCCGTGGGGGTTGGGAAGAGGAGGAGGCCTGTTCGCCCCTCGAACATTGACCTCAGTGGGTCAGGTTCTTCGGGGAGACGCTACAATATAACAAAACGCGAACTATAGAATTCAGAAACTCAAAAGCTTGTTGAGACTTGCCCAACTTTCCAAGCTTGTTGACGCTTGCCCGAAAATGAGCAAATAACTTTAAGTCATTCTTGAAATGCAGAATTTGAAATTCTGGCATCATATTTAAGCGTAGTCTTCAAATTTAATGAAGTATGGAAGAAACTCTGTTTTGTAGTTTTGGATGCAACATATTTAAGCAAAAAAACAGCATTCAATGATCCTTAAAATGTATAAAATATTTCGATTCGTTTTACTTCATTATTATTGTTTATCCATTATACCACTCAATTGTTTTTCTGAAACTCATATATACAAAGTGAATTTCAAAAACAGATTTTTGTGTGTGCTGGGATGTCAGTCCACTTCCTCCAAGAGTTCACAGTCGGTTAAGTATCTATCAAAGGAAACGCGTTCTTTCGAACTGAGAGCATAATAGCGTGTTACGCAGAGTACTATTAGGGGTTACACATCAGTGCATTTGCGTCGGCAGTTCCCCAAAAACAAACGTAGATTCATGCATGACGCCTGTTTGGTAACCCTAGCTAACACTAGAAATCGCCAATGATCTCTCTATTCACACTCAGTGCAACAGAGAGAATTTTGAATGCACTTAGTCAGTATAGCTTTCTCTAAATCTAAAATCATTCTGAAAACATAAGTATTGAAGTTATGCATGAAATTATTGAAGCGCCGCTTTAAAGAGTTTTCGGATAACAATAAAATATGTTATTTTCCCACTCATAGGATTGATAGTAGGCATAGAGAAATGACATGAAGAGATGTCGTACATTCCAGTTCGATCCTACTCAGAGTGAGAACAAACAACTCAATTGACTAATGTCAGCGATATTTGGTCCTTTTTATTAACATAACATTCACATTTTTAATTTTTTCCCCCAGTTTTAAGTTCTACAAGGAAATAATTTTCAACAGCAACAGCAGCAGTATTTTTATAAATGAAATGGCTAACTTTTAATCCTTTTTGTGATATTTGCTAAGTAATTCGGCTTTTAAACATTCTGACATGGAAATTTTTGCAATAGTCTGGCTAAAGACAATGTAGTTTTGAGTTCAATAACTGAGCACTCTTCATCAGTATACGCCCAGGCCTGTTGAGGCTGATATTATCTGCATTCAGATAGTAGACTAATGATGAATAATATCTTTTAGTCATCAGTTTTATTCTTTATATTTAGATGGAACTAAGCAAGTTGTTTCTTAATGGAGAATAACATGATAAATTTTATATGAGAAACACAATTTCCTGATATGCAGCGCTCTTCAGACGACATCGAAACATGCGGATATTTGCACGCCCTGCATTTCAACTTCAAAAATCTAGGTAAGCATGTAAGTATTTTGGACCACTTAAACTCACAGTTTAAAATTTTCTTTTCATGCTGACAGTCTCATCTCTCATTATTTCACTGCAAATTTATAACTGAATCACACGCACTTCTTATGTTGAGCAATAAACAGCACCTGAAAATATCTCTTTCTAGAATGCCTCTTTTTAAAATGAAATAGAATAAAAATAGTGAGCTTCCATATTGTTTTCAACAACCTATTCTCACGCCATACCATATTTCCTTTCTAACTGTGCTAATATTACATTTCACACATTTTACTTTATAATTATTTGTAACGATCATTTTATTCTGAAGAATAAAACAGAATGAGAGAAAGATCTACTATAGCAAAAGAAAGTAGAAAATAGATACGTGACTACATGTTTATATCCTAACGACTTTTTGTTGTTAGTGGCTTTTAACGAGTATAAAGACATAAAATTCTCTATGACTGAACTCCTTCAAAACATTCAATAAAATTTTAGTTTTAAGAATAAAATAATTTCATTTTGATTCGGAAACGGACAGAAACCCGCAGTCTGCCAAACAGCGAACTGATTGTGAGAGAAAAATGGATGGAGAAAACAAACTCACCTCTTACGCGCTGGGGAAAGATAGATGCTGTTTTCAAGGAGAGCTGTTCAAATCCTCGTATCTACTGGACCGAACTCTTGAGCAGGGCCAGCTTCAAATGACTCTAGTAAACGCCGGTTGGCCCTAACAGCTAGCCAATCAGATGGCTCTCAATTTCTCCCTCCTCGACCGTGAGGATAATCCACCCTATCTTTCCCTCACACGCTTCCCCCATTCTTTTAGGACTTCGGCCTCTGGGTCTTATTCAAAATGCACAAAAAAGACACCAAACTTGCACTTAAGAAATTTTTGAAAACAAAATATTGAACACATTAATATCGGTTCGAATATCAATTTATATTCTCAGTGAAATATGAGTTTTTCGAATTAAAATAATTGCTTAATACAATCTAACTTTAGAGCAAGTAATAATATGCGTAGTATTATTCATATTAACGGGAATTTAATGTAAGGAACAAATCAAGGATGTCAACAGAACAAAAATAGTGTGTCGGGAATACTGTTTCTGAAATTGCTGTTTCAACATCAAGTAACTTTAATTAGGGTTTTAAAAACACTTTAAAGAAATGAAAAATGTTTCCGAGTTTCTCCAGTTAAGCATTCATAACTGCGTAATACAACTTATATTTCTTTAAATAGATTTGCTTTTGTTTTTCTTTAAATGCATTTGCTCTTGTTTTTCTTTAAATGCATTTGCTTTTGTTTTTCTTTAAATAAATTTTCTTTTGTTTTTCTTTAAATAAATTTTCTTTTGTTTTTCTTTAAATACATTTGCTTTTTTTTGCGTAATTGGGAAACATTTAAGGTTTAAAAGAAAATACAAATTTGTTTGACAGTAAATGTGTATGAAGGTGGACAACTGACGTCCCATTAGTCTTTCCAAGACATCAGTAACTGTTATAAATTTTCGTGTCAACATATTTACAATTTTACCTACCCCCACCACCACTTTTTTCTTGTTTTCTTGTTTCTAATAATTTAATATCGGTGCATACTTTTTCTTCCACGAAGTCCTTTGTATGCCCATAATATTGTCCAAAATATGGAGTCGCAAATTACCTTGAACAGGTTTGGGTAATCACACTGAATTATTGAAATGTTGGCAGTCACACATATGGATTTCAGTAATTTTTCAGTAATTTATTGGGGGAAATTGCATGTACTAGCATCGTGCATGTTTACTTTGATGTTTAAAATCGGTTCAAGTATTTTTTAGTATTTAACAGTGAAATCACACCCCCGCGTTAGTAATTCCCTTAAACATAACTCGTTTTGCTAAGTTTGATAGCTTTCCAGCTAATTGCTACTTATGAAACTTTCGCAGATTTATTAATCAAGTCAGAATCTGTCGTTCGAAACTTCTTTCATGCAAATGTTTAGGCACATTTATTGTAGACAAAGGATATTTTAAATATACGTTAGTTTGAATTTAAAGGCAAGGTTCTAAAATTTATTATTAACTGTTACTCAAAATAAGGTGAGGCGAAAAGGAATAATCAGCTCAGAAACAAAAAAGTCAGAAGGATGAATTCTGTTTGAACAGTATGTTATGTTACAAAAATTAGTATTATGTTCTTGAACTTGTAAGACATATCCTTAGTATAATAATTTTTATGTTAATGAGTTTTAGTGTTAATCTGTATTAACAATAAGGATCTTCTCCGTAAATCACACCTTACAAATCGTAATGAAAATTATTTTGATTAAGAAAACATCTAACGACAGTTTTTTAAAGCCCTTTATTTTTATTTCTTTGGCCATTTTTATCGTGAATACAGAAATATACTCGTATTTAAAAATTATTTTCGGTCTGTTAAAATGTTCTAAGGTCGATTACAGTATTTACTCATTGGCTTACGGTTTTAAAAGTAGTTAATGTGATCGATAGCGTTTCCGACGTTTTAGCCTACCATTAGCTGAGTGGATGAAGCCGCTGAATACTGGTAATTTACCCTGATTTCCAGCTCCCGTTAAATGCGGTTTGGCTGCATAGAAGTTTCCATATTTTTCCACGCGTGTGATAGGAATACGAGCTAATTTCCATTAGAGAGCCTTTCATAAAAGCATTCCTCTCACCTAGGCCTCCCCCTTTACTTACGCCCACCAGCGGCCGAGCGGTAAAGTCGCTGAACACTGGTAGTTCGGTCCGAGGTTCGAATCCCGCGAACGGGCTGGCTGCATGGGCGTTTTCGTGGTTTTCCCCATGTGTAACGTGTATACGAGCCAGTTTCCCTTAGAAAGTCCTCCACGAAAGGCATTCCTCACTTTAGGCAGATAGCCCTCGTGTGCTTTGCCATAATTAAATACACACACCCCCTTTACTTACCTGATTTGTCGTATTCAATCAATCAAACATTTAATTTTATTAAAGAAAAAGCAGAGTCCATTTATAAATAATGGAAAGTCTAAGTTTAATCTAATGTTTTAGTCACACGTATGTGAATACTTCTAAATCTCCTTTCCCTTTTATTATTTTCCTTTGTTTCCTATTCTAGCAGACTGTTAGTATCTGATGTAATGGGCATAATTATAAATAATTTCTAAGGCTTCTTGAATTATGCATTGAAGAATTTCGAAGCAAGACTATTTCTTTCGCTTTTTGTTGATTCGTGAGCATTTTCGTGCTGCCTCCGTGGGTAATGTCACTATGAACCATTTCCTTTAGTAGTTCGTACGTCATGAAAATATCCCTTCCCTTAGGCAAATAGTCCTTGTGAACTTCGCTGCAATCAGATTAAAAAAAATAAATAAATAAAACTTTTTAAAAAATCTGAAAGGTTTCAGGTTTTAAATTACGTCCAAAGGGGCGTTGTTTTAACGTTTTGTGTGTTACCTTTATTTATTAAATATCATGTTCTTTGCGCTTAAACCATAAAATTCAGTTCAACAGCAGTGTCGCAAAATAATTTTAAAATGAGCATATCTTTAAAATTTCCGATACACAGATCCGTGCCCTGGAGATAAAAAGGTCCCCTCCCCCGTAGAGTGTTACCATTGCTAGCTTTTAAATCGTTGAGTTTGTTAATCAAAATTTCGTTAAAGTTTTACAAAATATGAAATCGATAATAAAACGTATTCCAAATTTCAAATTTGGACTTTCAGATGCCCATATTCGCAGTAGGATTACGTCATTCAAAATTGGATGGCTCTAAGTACCGTTGTTTTATCACAATGCGAGAAACATACATACATTTATACAGATTCTTCATTATTTAATTTCTTCAAATATAATACAGGGCGATAGTATTTGGTGGGAACAATTTGAAAAGTGATACAGCCTTTTAAAGTTTCCAACGCAAAATCGCAAAACGAAAACAATAGTCCTGCAGGGACAAAGCCCCTTTGGACTAAAAAGGAACGAACACTTAATCATACTCTTTATCACATGGTTTGTACAAAGACATAGATTTGAAAATATGTGAATTCTTAGCAATGAAAAAAGTCTGATGTGGTACTTCCTTGTACAGCCTATTAAATTATACGCATTTTTTGCTGCACTTAATTTAAACTTACTTCCTCGAACTATTCTAACTTAATTAACCGATCTCTCAAGGCAAGCTGAAAATGACATCCAAAACTGCAAACTTTGAAATTAAGTATACCAGTTAATTTTTGGCGTACGGGAGTCAAACTTCTTTTAATTTTACATTTTCAAAATGAGTATAAAACGTTCCCAAAGTATAGGAACCGGGAAACCGCATTAAAAGCTAGATTTCGTTATTTGTCGAAAAAAAAAAAAAAAAAAAAAAAAAAAAAAAAAAAATTTTTTTTTGGCATTGTCAAAACAGGAATATTTTCGTTATTTAAAACACTTCTGTTTGCGCCATTTCTAGATTAATCTATTTCATATGGCTTGAGTAATGCTGATGACGTAGCTAATTCGGAACTTGAACTCAAAATTTGGAGAAGTGAAATCTTTTTTAAACCAAAACAAAACCTTCTATTGTTGGATAACTGCGCACTTTCACGTCAGCTCTGTTGCGATCTAAACGCTATTTTGCTCCCTGTGCTTTGTCGTGCTGCAAACTTCATAGTTATCTCAATCTCTATTTAAAATTGTGAGGTGCGTATTGCGCCTATGATCATGTGTGATGGAAGATATCACTTCGATAATTACTTCGTGTCAGCAATAAAACTTATATTCAATTCAGCCACGTCTGTCTACAAGTCTCTCCTTCGAGTTGATCTTTCTAATTACTCAGTAAAGTCTGTCCAAGTTATAACATACAGAACTATCGTTAGTCCGTTGAAGCTTACTCCATCTTATTACATATATATGTATATATACGTTTGGTTGTGAAGATTGCAATAAAAAAAGGTGATGCACAACTAGATGTTATAGCAGTCCCATATACAAAATTTCAGCATTCTACGGATAATCGTTTTTAAGTCAATGCGAGATACATATGTACATACATAAATACATACGTGTGTACGTACTCACGTTACAAAAAAAAAAAATCCCTTCTGAATCAACATTAAATCCATTTTACAATCCGTTTTGGAAAAAACATTCGTTTATTCTGCGCATACGTACAGACGTCACTCAAAAAATTCTCCAGATGGATTCAAGAATGGTCAAAATGGATATTTTTGTTGAAATAGGATACCCGAAATTTTTCGCGATTACAATACTTCCTTTACTTCGTACAAAGAATGTAAAAAGAGTTGTATAACTGAGGAGGTCGAAATCAAGCTACAGTGAATTTTTAAATTACTTTTGTATTATTATGGTAAATGACCATAATACATTAAACCAAACGTTACATTATGTAAGACATTACGGTAAAGTCAGTTACCCACACCTTGGGTTAAAATAAAGGGAGAGACTTCGATTAGCTATTTAGTTCATTGCCTGAAATGACTGAAAAATTTATCGATTAACCATTTAACCAAGTCTTAGATTCCTTATCTGGAAGACCTTGCGAAAACGAATGTAATGTCAGAAACATCTGTAAGGAATTTATTTTATCAAGGTCAAAATGTTGAATTACATTATTTGTTCTAACTCGAAGATAGGAAGCATGTTGTCATACATGTGTCATTAGGAAAACGTGGCGAAAGGATGGAGAGATAAAATAAATTGAACTGCTGCTAAGTTTATCATTGCCTACCTAATCTTCAAGATACAAAAGCCAGATACT